ACCTGAAAAAGAAGTCATACTTCCCTAAGCATTAGCAGGCAGTGCAGATCCTACTGAAGATTTTGTAGGGAAGTGATGGAGAGTTTTACATGACACTCCATACAGCGCACGACTTCAAAAAAACCTTTCTGCAAAGTGTCTCCTAGCCTGTTTCTCCTTGGCTGAAGCCTCCAGAGTGCAAGGCCTCAGCTACACCCCCTCTCCCTCAGTGTTCCTGAGAATTGTCCTCTTTCCCTATGTCAGATTGGAGAAGTTAGAGCTCTCTCAGCTTTTATATCCAAACGTGCCACCCACTACCATTTATCAATACTGCCTTCATGTTGGCTAGAGACCGGTATAGAAGGATAGATAGTTTGCTCTTAGCAAACAAAAAAGTCCTTCACTTACTACACCTTCTTCTGAGTGGGAGTCACATGATTTTCTGTTGAGGGTGTTCACATTTGTCCTTTTGGTGGCTTGTCACAGTGTATGGTGTTTCCAAGTGAGGTCACATTCCATAGTTCATGGACCCTCAGCAAACCCCCCCGAGGTATCATGAACCTCAAAGAGACTGAAACTGCAAGATTAAGGGATTTGCCTTAAACCATCTCCATGTCAGAGGGAAAGGCGGGACAAGCACACAGGTCTTTGAGGTTCAACTTCAGTGCTGTTTCTCCTCTTTTTAGTGGGCACACATTTCTCAGGCTACAACGCTCCAGTGTGCAAACATATCACCTTTGATTTTAAAAAATTTTTGTTAAAATATAGTTGATTTACAATGTTGTGTTAGTTTCAGGTGTACAGCAAAGTGATTCAGTTATATACATATATGTGTGTGTATGTATATATATAAATACATATATTCTTTTTTAGATTCTTTTCCATTATAGGTTGTTACAAGATATTGAGTATAGTTCCCTGTGCTCTACAGTAGATCCTTGTTTATCTATTTTATATATAGTAGTGCGTATATTTTCCCTCCCCCGCTTTCCTCTTTTGTAACCATAAGTTTGTTTTCTATGTCTGTGAGTCTATTTCTGTTTTGTAAATAAGTTCATTTGTATTGTTCATTCAGATTCCACGTATAAGTGATATCATATGGTATTTGTCTTTCTCTGTCTGACTTACTTCACTTAGTATGATAATCTCTAGTTGCATCCATGTTGCTGCAAATGGCATTATTTCATTCTTTTTAATGGCTGAGTAATGTTCCATTGTATATATATGTATATACCATGTCTTCTTTATCCATTCATCTGTCAATGGATACTTAGGTTGCTTCCATGTCCTGGCTATTGTAAATAGTGTTGCTATGAACATTGAGGTGCATGTATCTTTTCAAATTATAGTTTTCTCCAGGTATATGCCCAGGAGTGGGGTTGCTGGATCGTATGGTGGCTCTATTTTTAGTTTTTTAAAGAACCTCCATACTGTTCTCCATAGTAGCTGCACCAATTTACATTCCCACCAGCAGTGTAGAAGGGTTCCCTTTTCTCCACACCCTCATTTATTATTTGTAGACTTTTTGATGATGGCTACCCTGACCGGTGTGAGGTGATACCTCATTGTAGTTATGATGTGCATTTCTCTAATAATAAGCAATGTTGAGCATCTTTTCATGTGCCTGTTTTTACCTTTGATTTTTATACCCCAGTTTAATTTCTATTTTGAGTCCCACTGTGCTGAAGGTGGGAATATAATCTTAGTCAATTTGAGCTAACCTCATTAAATTCAAGCTTTTCTTGGTCAGTTCAGATTAGTCTCTATCAATTTCTTGTTTTCTCTCTCCCCTCTTCTGTCTGTGTTCAGGGTGGGCTCACCTAGTTCCACAGCATTGGTAATCCAGACTCACTCTAGTCTGTCCCCTGTGGCATCCACCAGGATGGCCCTGCTTATCAGTTCCCAGGTTTACTTTGTATCAGCCTTGGCTGAGCTGTGTGGGCTCGTTGGGTCCAGCAGCCTTCCCTCAGCTACCCGTGGAGCCTTCCTAGGTGGCGTAGAGGCAGGGGAGAGTGGGAAACTTCAGATGGTCTCCTGAACCCATTGGGGGTTGAAAGTCTCTGGCCTCCCTGGTCCAGGCTGACCAGCTGCCATTTCATTCTACCGCTGCTGCATGAGGCTGGTGCTGGTGGTGATGGGACTGGGGGTGTGACCACTGTTGGACCTGCCTCCCTCCTGGACTTCACCCACGAAGCAGGGACATAGGTCTCTTCTACTTACTTTTGGTTTCCCAACTTGATCTGGGAGTTCTGTCTTCCATCTCCCTTCCCCTCAAAACTTAGCCAGGGCCGGTGTGGCAAGAGCAGATCCCTTCCTCCAGACAAGGATTAGCAACTAACTCTTGCTTTCTCTCAGATTGTACACCCTCCTCTCTCAGTCCAGATGAGCTTTATCTCCTCGGAGGGCAGGAAAACACGATCCCTCACCCTCCAACTTTGTGGTCTATGACCTAAACTTGATGCTTGTTGACTTCAGGGCCTTGGTGACTGATACCCCAAGCCTAGGTTTTGGAGAAACAGAAACCCTTTCTCTCAAATGATTTCCTCTGCTGTGAGTTTCAAAAGCCTAATTTTAAAACTGAAAAAGTGAGCATCCATGCTTTTCTTTCTCTTTGCATCTCTGCAACTCTACCCTGAGGGCATGGGTCTAGGAAACTTTTGCTACTCCCTAGATGGGGAAGATGGATAGGGAAGCAGGAGATGCTGAGGAAAGTAGCACAGATTAAAATTTGAAAAAACGCTACCCAAAAGGGACAGAGTGATGTGGTCCACAGCAAATTGTCCTGGCCTTCCTCCCCACCTCTCCACCCTCCGCCAAAAGCTTCAAAACCTTCATATCAGAAACCAGAGAATAACTATGGGCCTGTGATGGAGACTCGGAGCAAGGCAGGAAGGGACCATGAGAAGGAGTCCTGGTTGGAGTGATGACAAGTCATGGCTTTTTATCCTGAATTTTCTGCTTCACATTTGAGACTTTGAACAAGTCGTCTCCCCTTTGTTGCCCTTCAGCTGTGCTGGAGTGAGGGAGGGAGATCTTGACCCTTACCCTGGTTTACCATGCACTGGCTAATGAGACTGAGTGCAACTTTCTCAGCCTCCTAAAGCCTTAGTCCTCTCACCTGCAACATAGGCTACCAAGGCCCCCATGGCTTGCCCTACAGGGGTTTGTGGAGGATCAAATGAGCAAGTGGGCAAATAGCTGAGTCCTTTCAAACGTAATATATGATGGAAGATGAACGTGTGAAGCTTTGGGAGATGCCTTCTCCTTGTATCCTGTCCTTCAAGGGCTTCCTGAGATGTCAAGCTGCTGGCAAGGAAGATGAGGTATTCTGATAACTGCTTATCTGCTTTCTCCTGGGACAGTGACTGCTTCTTCAGGGGATACTTGTAGGTGTTCGTCGTCAAAAGTGAACAGCAGAGGGCAGCCTGTGCTCAATAATGATGCTATTCTGCAGGCTCCAGAAAGCTCTAAGGATGCAGTGGCCAGGGATTATGATAAAATGCACGTAGAGTCCACTAATATTGGAATCTGGGAGAACAGCTCAGGATTGCTATTTGGTTTTGCTCTATATATTTCTTTAAAATTATTGTTTTGAAAGGAACACACACATTTGGTTAAAAAAAAATTAGAATGGTACAAGAGTTTACAAAAAACTCCTTATAGTGGCCCTACACAGCCTAGCCCCCCTTTCATCTCTCTGCCTTCAAATCCTACACTCTCCCTTGGCTCTAGCCCACCCTTGGAAGCCCGTCTTTGCCTTTGCTGTTTCCTCTTCCAGGAGGACTCTTCCCCTAGATTTCAGTGAGGCTCATTTGCTCACCTTTTTCAGATCTTTACTCACTTCACCTCCTTCTCATGGAGGTCTTGTCTGGCTTTCCCATGTAGTATGACATCCCCTCTCAACACTCCCTATCTTCATTTAGATGGTGCCTGGAACATAGTGTTATACATTATTATTTTTTTTCTCCAGAGCACTTGTCACTATTGTTCAACGTATTGTACATAGTAATTAAAATTTTTTTCTGCCTCTTACCCCTTACGAAAGCTTTATGAGGCAGGGACATTTTTCACCTTTTTTCCCCCATTGTTATATCATCAGTGCCTAGAACAATCCTAGCATGTAATAGTAGTGGCTTAATAGATATTTATTGAGTGAAGCTACATGGTAGCTCTACTTCTGAAAGACACTGCCCCTCATGAGAATACGATGAAATGAATTGGCATCTTTTATGAGCTCATCCTGGGATTGTGGGATTTGGTAGTTTGGCCTGGGCTTAGCTGGAAAGCATGGCTGATCTTGGCTGGGTTTGCTCATGCATCTGTCCACTCTGTCTACTCAGGTCCACTGAGGCACCTTAATTTCCCCCACGTGGCCTCTCATCCTATAGCAGGCTTGCTTGGGCTCATTTGCATAGCAATCTCAGGCTTCCAAGTACAGCAAAGAGAGGCAATTCCCAATGTACAAGTGCTATTAAAACCTCTGCCTGTGTCACAATTGCTATCACCCCTTTGGCCTAAACAGTCACATGACTAATTCATATTGATGGGGGGAGGAACTGCAAGGTTACATTGAAAAGGGGAAATGTGCACAGGGCTGAGAAGAATTTTGGGCCATTTTGCAATCCTCCACAATAAATATGATTCAGTTGCCCCATAAAATATAATAAAATCCCACCCATAGCATGTTAAGGTGCATATTTCTCCACCTCTGTTCTGGACTGTGTATTACCAGAGTAAAGAAATTTTTCTTCACTAATCAGATAGGTGAAAAGTAGTGTCTTATTTGCTCAGAGAACTTAAGAGACATCCCTGGTAAGAGGCAGAGCCTGACCCCAAAATGCAACCTCTTACCTGGCTTGCAGTGTCTGCTCACTGTGGGCAGGGTGACAAGCCCTGTCCTTGACTCTGGGCATGGCCCTGTGACTTGCTTTGGCCAGTGTGTATTAGTGGATGTGATGCAAGCAGAGGCTTAACATAGGCTCAGTGCTTGCTGTCTCTTATACCTTTCTGTTTACCACCAGAGCATGCCCAGGCTAGTGTGCTGGAGAATGAGAGACACTTGAAGCAAAGCAGAACCCAGGCACCTGGCAGCGGCCAGTCCAGATCGGCTGACAGCCAGCTGACACCTAAACATGTGAGCAAGCCAACCAAGATCAGCAGAGCCACCCGGCTGACCCTCAACTGACCCCAGGTATATGTAATAATTGTCTCCATCTCACTGGTCTCCCCAGATAACCTATGAGTTTAGAGCAGAGAACTATGCGGCCCATAACCCAAGGTTACAGAGGAGCCCACTTAGATCCCAGGCCCTGGGGAGCCCCTGTAGCTGTGCCTGGACCTGTGGGTTTGGGCCCTCTGTTGGGGTGTCCTCTACAAAACAAGTTCTGCTTTCTCAGTCTCTTGTAGTTTCCCTAGCTCTGGAGAGCTCTGATGGCTCAGAGGCTGTTTGGCTGGGTTGGAAAAAATCTTCATAATTGTCAACAAGCTGGCCAGAGCTAGACCCTGACATCTGATGGAAAGGGTCATGAGTGGCAATGAAAGAGGCTGGCTGTCGCTGCCCAGAGGCTGCCTGAAATGATGGATGTGAGGCCTAGCAGGCTGGGGAGGATGGAGATGTTTATGTTTCCAAAGGCAGGGCATTTTCTCCCAGGGCATGGGGCTAGTGGAAACAGGGTCAGAACAAATCACTTTACATTATTTCTCTCTTTTATTTTTTTCTTCTGATGAGAAATAACTCCTACTCTCAGGGCATGATAGACTAAGGAAACTGTATCAGAGCTACATGTTTCTTTGAAAATTTTTTTCCCTTGAATTTTAATCTTATGGGACACTGACCTTTCTGATAATCTGCAGAAGCTATGAACCCATTCCCCAGGAATAATACTCAGAGATACAGAATTTTACTTATAATGTCAGAGGATTTACCATTTCTCTAAACCACTCATGGAACTTAGATTAGGGGATTCTAGGAGAGAGAGAGGGAATTGGAAGGGAAAATAGGAAGACAGAGGTAAAGATGGTATCAGAAAGAAATGGGGAGACTTTGGAAATAGATTTGTTGAAGAGTTTTTTTTGGTTTGTTGAAGAGTTTTAACCAAAGATTGCTCTGGTCCCAAATATATTTCCTCTTCACTCTGCACTAATCCTAGAACCTATACTTGTAAAAGTCATTCTTTTCAGTCAATGATATTGTACTTTATGTATCATTCTGCTAATTTGCCATTTTCAGTCAAGTCTGTATATTTGAGATCCATTCATTATGACATACATTGATTTAACTTATTCATTTTAACTGCTAAACAATATTCTGTAGAATGAATACACTGTCTTTTATTTATCCATTCCTTGATAAATAGACGTTTAAGTAGTTTACTTTTTCTCATATTAGCAATAGGAAATATCCTTGTACATGCCTCCTTGCACAGAAATGAGGGAAGTTTCTCTACGGACTATACCTGGAAGTAGAATTGTGGGGTTATGGGCTTTTCAGTTTTCTAGATACCATCGCCTTGTTTTCTGGATTCAACACACTAATTTACAGCTCCCACCAGCAATGTCTGAAGGTTGTACCCCCATATCCTTTCCAGTGCTTGTTATTTTCTGATTTCTACATTTTTAAAATGAATCTGATGGGTATAAAGTAATAATATGTATTTTAAAATTTGTATTTTATTTGCATTTTTTTACCTGTTTTTGGCATTTGTGTGCCTCTTCTGCAAATTACCTATTCATATTTTTTGCCCATTTTCCCCTTACTGTATTGAATATGAAGTCTTTCTGGGTCTTGTCATGGGTTTCTTTTAGCTTGGCCATAGCTCTAACTCCTCAAAATTTGGTAAAAAATAAAAAAAGACTGTCATGGTAGAAAGAAAGTCTGAACTTGGATTTAGGGTATGCAGTTTGCGTCCTGGCTCTGATGCTAACTGGCTGTGTGAATTTGGGCAAGTTTTTAACCTCTCTAAGTCTCTGCCTCCTTTCTTGTAGAATGGGGATAACCATCCCTACTTCACAAAGCCAAGGTGAGGCTTAAATACCTGATATCTATGAGTGATCAGTAGTTGAGTTGAAGAACCCAGATGAAGTTGTCTCTATGCCCAGAAACCTTCAAATGTAGCTGTGAACCTGCCTATGACACAGCCTCCATGAAGGAATTCAGATATCACTGTGGGACATGGTCCTCCCATAGGACAGTCCTGCTGTCCTTCAGGTAGTCCTAGGAACTGACTCATGGCTCTGGAGGCCCATAGACTGCCCTTGGGACAGATCCCATCTTCTCTGCCATTTCCAGAGAAGTATCATGAGGCCATTATTAACCTTCACATCAGAATAGTGGTTCTGGAATGCTGAACTCATCTCTATACCTTCCCCTAGTGCCCACTCAGGAAACCAAATCATTTGAAATTAACAACAGCAAATCAATAGCTAACTTTTTGAATGCTAACTGAATAAATATATGTAAAGCATTTAGAACTTTGCCTAGCAAATAGAAAGCACTATGTGTTAGCTTCACTAATAATAATAATAATTATTACTATGATGATGATGATGTAGTAAGCATTGAGCTAAGGATAATGGGCATTAATTTATTTAATCTTCATAATTGTAGGACTTTTGCTTACTTCTCACAAATGTAAGAAGTGCTAGGGGTGGACCTCCCTCCCCAGCATTTCTCCAAGGGTCAGGTTTGTTGCAAATATACTTCCTCTGTGGCACAGGTAGGACTGTTTTACCAGGAGGAGAATAATTTTTCCCCTTAGATGATGCTAATACCTCATCTAGTATTTGTTCATCAGTTAACAATTTATAAAGTGCTTTTGCATGTATTTCTCACTGAATTCTCATAACATCCCTGTGTAGGAGTATACTATCTCCTTTTTGAAACAGACCCCACTCAGCTTCCATGAGCCAACATATCCTGGGTGACTTCCTACGTCACTGGCCACTTCTCAGTCTTCTTTTGCTGGTTCCCTCTCCTTCCCCCAATCTCTAAACATAAGTGTTCCTTCCAAGGTCTGATGTCTGGGTTCCACCTCCACAGCTTCTGATTTAATTGATTTAGTGGTAGGGTGTGGGCAGCAACACATTTAAGAAGTCCTCTAGGTAATTTATTGAGCAGCCACAGTCAAGAACCACCCATCTATATGCTGAAGATGTCCCCTTTCAACCTCTATCCCAGACCTCTCTTTTGTCTCCAGAGAGTCTACTTGGCATGTTCACTTGGTTGTCCCTTAGGAATTTCAGTCTTATTATGTCCAGCACTGAAACCTTGATTTCTCAACTCCACTCCTCTGCTTACTCATTTCTCCCATGATCATCATCATCTTAGCAAATAGCATCATTGTTCTTCCAGATATTCAAGCCAAAGACCAGGAGTTGTCTTTGATCCCCTCCCTTTTCCTTGTCCTCTTTTTTTCAATCCAGTAGTAGATGCTGCTGGCTCGACCCCCCCAAATTCCTCCATATCTCCCTGTTTTCTTGCCACTGCCTTAGCTGAAGTCACCACCATTATCTCTTTCCTGGATTATTTACTGCAGTGATCTCCCACCCACTTCTCTTGCTTTCATCCTTACTCCTCTCCAAAGCATTTTCTACAGAGTGGCCAGAGTGATCATTCAATCTGAAATGAAATCAGATCATTTCATTTCCCCTCAATTGTTTTCCAAAGATAAAATGCCTCATTATGCCTTTTCAGGGTGCCGTGGGATTTGGCTCCTGCTTCTCTCTCCAAACTCCCTTCCATCCATTCTCCCATCTTGCTCATTTTGCTCCAGCTGCACTGGACTTTTTCTAGTTCTTGGAACAATTTCAAACTCATTCCCCTACATCAGAGCTCTTGCTACTTTTTTACTTTGATCATTCTTGCTTCAGTCTTTATAGAGTCCTTACTCTTCATGTCTCAGCACGTCAAATATCACCTTGCCAGAGAGGCATTCTCTGACTACTCTTCTCCCATATTCTCTTTTTTAAAAAATAATTAATTAATTAATTTTCGGCTGTGTTGGGTCTTTGTTGCTGCGTGCAGGCTTTCTCTAGTTGTGGCAAGTGGGGGCTACTCTTCGTTGCAGCGTGTGGGCTTCTCATTGCAGTGGCTTCACTTTTGCAGAGCACAGGCTCTAGGCACGTGGGCTTCAGTAGTTGTGGCATGTGGGCTCAGTAGTTGTGGCTTGCGGGCTCTAGAGCGCAGGCTCAGTAGTTGTGGTGCATGGGCTTAGTTGCTCCACGGCATGTGGGATCTTCCCAGACCAGGGCTCAAACCCTTGTCCTCTGCATTGGCAGGCAGATTCTTAACCACTGTGCCACCAGGGAAGCCTCCCCATATTCTTTATTATAGAACCATTGTTCCTTTATTTTATTTATTATTTTGTTCCTTGATGCCTTTTTGTTTTCTCCTTCAACTGATTAGATTATAAACTCCATGAGGGCAGGGGCCATGGTTGTGTTGCCAAACTTAGCAAAACAGACAACACAAAAGACGAAACAGGAATTATGTTATGTTTGGAGAGAATTGACATCTTTACTGTGTTGAGTCTTCTAATTCATGAACATGGTACATCTCTCTGTTCATTTAGATCTTTGCTCTCATAATTTTTGGCATATAATTCTTGTATGTATTTTGTTAGACTTATACCTATTTCATTTTTTTGAGCAATTGTAAATAGTATTGTATTTCTAATTTTGGTTTCCACATGTTTATTGCTAGTATATAGAAATACAATTGATTTTTGTATGTTTATCTTATATCCTGTCACCTTGCTGAGCTCATTTATTCTAGTTGTGTTTTGTAGATTCCTTGGAATTTTCTATGTAGAATATCATGTCATCTACAAATATGGACCACTTTATTTCTTCCTTTTTTGATCAGTTTGCTTTTTCTTTTCTTTCCTTTTCTTTTTTTCTTTTCTTACCTTATTGCACTGGCTAGAACTTTCAGCACTATATTAAACAGCAGTGACAAGAATGGATGTTCTTGCGTTGCTCACAACTGTCTCACCTTTTTAAACACAGATTTGCGTGATGCCATGGAGAGACAGAGCATGAGTGTTAAAGTTAATTTAACCCATAGTCAAATAAATCCCACACACTATCTATGTGATCTCAGAAAATGGCTTTGTCTTTCCCCAAGTTTCCTCATCTCCAAAGTTGAGATAATAATATCTATGCTTTGGCTTTGTTAGAGAGCAGGCAAAGTGC